CCAGAGGCTCACAAATAAAAGGCATAGTGTAAGGTATGAGTTACTTCTTTTGGAGTTGTTGGCCAACTATGTTTCATAGGCCACCCCCAAACATTATAGACTACTGCCAATACTCTTGGTTACTCTCCAAAACTTGATGGAAAAGCCCACTTATTGAAAATAATATATGCTTGAGTCATCAAAATCAAGGTTGGCCAAATTGAGCTTGGTGTGGACCTGGATCTTTTATCCTTCCTGGCTAGCTTTCATAATGCCGGGAAGTGCAATGCAAGCTACTGGAAGAGAAAAATAACCATCAATTATATGCAACTATTAACCCTCTGATCTATAGTAATGACTGGCCTGGAAAGATGCCTACTGGTGCAATAGAAGCATGAGCATCATCAGAATAACTATGTTATAAATTAGATTGTATGTAAGTCCCACTTCACAGGATGAAACTCATATCTCACACATTCATAAGCTAAGAACCTATTCTAGACCATAGGAAGAACGTATTCCTATTATGTTGCAAAGTGAACATAGTATTAAACTAATTCCTAAGGACTATTTATTGTTGTATCTATAACCAATGCATGCCCTGCCTCTCATCCAAGAAGCTTCTAATTGTATGACATTCTGACTAACCCACAACGGTCAGAAGCACACAAAATAAGATATTACAGAATTCTAAGCCCTAATAAAAACATAGATACTGAAGCTACTCCTTTCACGGCTCAAGGACCATTGCAGAAAAAGAAGGGGAAAGAGTGTAGGAGGCAGAGGTATGGGAAGACTATGCAAAAACATCACCTTCTGGACACAGCAGGGCATTTGCACACATGATTTCACAGTAGTTGTGACAGCATATACAAAACCTGTGAAAGCCCAAGCCAGAGAAATCCCAGCACAGAGAAAGCAGAGGAGCTTACTACCCCACACCAGTCTTTAGAGAGACTGACAACAATCAGCTGCTTGGAGAAGGAGAGAGAATGTTTTCTAAGAGTGTAACTCCTGGCAAGCTAATCACTCCGCAGGAGAAGACCATACATCAAAGAATATTTGGGGAGAACAAATTGTTTTTAAAGAATTTTTAAAAAATGACACAAACTTGAGTGGGTAAGAAGGAGAGTGAATTGGGAAGGAAGGGAGTAAATATGATGAAAAATACACAAAATATAATAAAAGAATTCCAATTTCACTAATAAGAATAAATTTTGCTTCAGCCCTGCAAAAAGATAAATACTTCATCTTGACAGAATACCATGATTGATTGTTAGGTATGGTCAAGATATGTTATTTAGGTTGGCCTTGAATTCCTGACCTCAAGAGATACTCCTGTTGCAGTCACAAGAGAACCTGAAACTACAGTTATGTGACTGGCCTAGATTTGTGTTTATTTTTATGTTGCTTATTATAATTTTCTTCTTATATTTTTCTTATTGAGATTCATTATCATTAGAAAAATTGGAAGGAATATAAACAATTTGAATTTTTATTTTTACTCGTGAAAGTCTTTCTGGTTAATTGGGATGATTACAATTTAGTCACAGATATCTTTGAGGACCTCAGAGGTCCTGAATGAAGGTGGGGTTGAATGACAGAAGAGGGGATATGTTGTCCTATAAAGATGTACTGAAGTCATTCACATGTCAGGAGGTAGTGACATTGATAAGGATATTAACGAAAAAATGATGAATTTACATGGGCATACCAGTAACTTTTTGTTGTTTGAGATAAAACACCATGCCAAAAGCAACTTATGAAAGAGGCTAATTTGGTTTGTGCTTCCAGAGGGCAAGTCCACATTTTGGGGAAAGCATGGCAGCCAAAAGGGAAGTCCATGTGGTGGGGGAAGCACGGTAGCAGGCAGTCTAGCAGGAAGTTAAGAGACTGCATCGTTAGTCTCAAACACACAGCAGAGAGAGTGAACTGGAAGTGGGGGAAAGCTATACAGTCTGAAGCGTGCCCAAAGCCGTGTACTTCCTCTGGAAAGTCTCCACACCCTAAGGGTTCCACAAACTCTCCAAACAGGGCCACCTGCTTGGATGTGTGCTCACATGCAAGGACTTGCTAGGGACATGCATTATGCAAACTGACATTATGGGTTCACTATGGTTTCAAATTTTATGAGTAATGATCCTACAAATAAAATTGAATGAAAGAGGTAAAAATGAATATAAGAATTAGGAAAAGATTAAAGTTTTGGGTCTAATGCATGACCAAACATTACATAATTATTAGACTGACAAGACTCATAAAAACAGAATATTAGCAAAACTCAGGAACCTGAAGCTTTACTTTGAATACGTGGAGTTTAAGATACAGACTTGCTCCTGAAGGAGTTCAGTCAGGATGGTCTTAGACCTGTCTGCTGCTTTGTTATTAGCCAGAGAAGGCTGCACAAATCCATGAGTTGTCAGTGGGCAGATATTATGCACAGCCAAATTTTCATATAAGGAAGGAATTGTAAGTCAAGGGGCAGTTTTGACTGAAGCCTGAATTTCACAGTTCTCCCACCATCTAGAATCCAGAAAGAGGAGGAGAGCAACATCAAGAAGAACCATGATTTGTGCAGTAGTTCAGAAAGAAACTGAGAGGACATAGTGTCAAAAATATAGTAAGTTATTAAAATATGGTCCCCTTTGTTAAATAATGTCAGAGATCTCAGTAGACTAATTGTTAGTTGTATATAAATCCTCAAGCGAAACTTTCAAATGAGTGTTGAAAACAAACACAGATACTGCCATTTCTTATTAATTTTACTTCCATTTCCTGTATTTTGCAATCCATTCCATTGATGTCATTGTGATGTAGCATGCTAGCCCCTATGATAAATGAATTTTAAGTATCACTTTGTCTAATGTGTGGTACCAGTTTTCTCAAAGGCCAGTCAGGATGTTTCTCTGAAAGTATTTTGAAAGTATTTATAGCCAGTGTATTTTGAAGAAGTTATATTATCTACCACAATTTGTCTAGGCTTTATCTATCAGGTGACTGCTCACAGAGCAAAGACTAGTTCATAGAAAAGGAATTACATATTTTCTTCACTTAATTCCATTGTTTATATCCCTTGAGATTGTATAGTAGATGCTAGAAGAGTAGGTACTCAACACATTCTAGCTGTTAAGAATGAATATGAAGATGCATATGAATCATTGTTTCCTAATATAGACAAATATACACTTTTGGGGGATACAGACACTGTAATTGAAATTAATAAAAAGAAAATTAGCAAGATATATTGCCTAATACAGCAAGCTGAATAATGGCTCTTTCCTTCCAATTTGCTCACATCTTCATCTGCAAAACTTGTGAGTATGTTGTTCTAGATGTTAAAAGGTACTTTACAGATATGAGGGAGTTTACGACTAGTGATCTGGGTGGGTTAAGTATAATCACAATCTAGAAGTAGAGAATGACTCTTAACTGGCTTCAGAAAGGAGATGCAATAATAGATATATCAGAAAAACTGAAGTGGCAGAATTTGAAACCAAAGAATAAGGGGCAAGAAAAATTTGAATTCTGACCTACAAGGAGGTAAGCTAATAATTCATAGTGACTTTTATAGATTTACTGAGTTACAACTGTTTTGTAAAAACTGTATACATTATACATACATAGTTTATATAGACATATTTACTGTTATAGGTGTGTGTGTGTGTATTTCTCAGTTTGACCAAATAGACACAAGCTCTAGCATCTCAATGAATGCTTAAGTAGACAGTGTTATATTGCTAACTATTGGCATTATACCACAGTCCAGCAGATCTTCAGAACTCACTCATTTTCGTTAACAGAAATTTTACATTCACTCAGAACCAATCATACATTGCTACAACATCAGGCCTAGAATGTTTTGTTATTTTTAGGTGCCTTACTTTTCGGCAGCTTGTTAGAACAGCATAGAAAACTTGATGTGCATGACAGATATGGAGGTCTACTAGTTCCTGATTCAGTGCAGACAGTCTAGTGTTGTTTTCAAAAGAGTGTGGTACTTGCATGGAATGCATGCTCGGCCTATGTAAACATTAAACCTTAATTTGGTCCAATGTATGAACAAAGACTCTAGACATATAAGGACAACTGCAAAAGTTAATTTTGAAAGTTGCTAATGGAAGAGCCAGCTTCCTGCACTCACGATATGGAACAAACCTTTAACCAGAAGTAGAAATGGAGGTCAGCATTTAAGTTACATTCTATGAACCATTTCATGTTTTGAGGACATTGACTTTGTCAACTACTTTTGCAATGCCAACATGGCAGAAGCTCACAACACTACACATGAGTTTTTAAAAAATATCTATTTTTAGTATTTTTCAAAATTATGTGTGTATCTGCACCACAGAATCCAGAATAGAAAAAAAAAAGATTCCTTTAGATTTGGAGCTACAGGAGATTGTGAACCTGCCTGTCTAGGTTCTGGGGACCCAATTCTGGTCTTCTAGAGGAGCAGTAAATATTCTCAAACCACTGAATCATGTCTCTACCTCAGACTGCTGCAAAAGTTTAAAAGTGTTTTTTCTGATGCTCCATGTATAGAAAACAAAACAAAACAAAGCAAAACAAAGTGATGTGAAAGGCAATACAAGGAAAACAATGTTGTGAATATGTGAAAAAGATTACCTCAGTTGCAAGAAAGTTTCAATCATGAATGAAAGATGGAGGCCATGATAGTGTCAAAGAATGGGCATTGTTTTGGAAATGTGGATTAGAACAGTGGGTTAACATCACAATAACTTAGTATTTATGGAAATCTGGGGCCATGTGGCAAGTCTAAAATTGAGAAAAACTGGTCTGGCACAGGCAGGATTTGGAGTTTTCCTCCTCCTCTTCTTTCTCTTTTCTTTTGTACATTGTTATGTATGTAGATGTGTTTATGGGAAGGGGAAAATGATACTCCCACTATTTCTCTCTCAATGAGAAGCTTCAACTAATTTAGTGTTGTTAAAACAGATAACAATCAGTTTACTGTTAACTCATTTTCCATTTGATGCTTTTATTTTGTTTTATGTCTACAGTGTTTTGCCTGCATGCATGTCTGCATACTGAGTACATGCTTCATGCACACAGAGTCCAGCAGAGATCATTGGGTGTAATGCAACCGGAGGTAAGCTATAGGATTGATGCCAGGACTCCAGTCCAGGTCCCCTGGGTAATTAGCCAGTGCTCTTAACCTACAACCCCCATCTTTTACATACTCAAGGATTATTCACATTAGAAAAATATCATTACATGGCATTTATGACCCTTGCAAATTCTTGCTATTTCACTTTCACTGTAGTTGGCTTTCATTAAGAAATCAAGAACATGCTAATGCTTGTATTATGCCGGCTAAACAAGTATTTCAGAATAAAAGGCATTGCATATTAGGACTTTGAGATTCCTCATAAACTGACAAAGTCCCTTCTGTGGCCAGAAAGATATTTTCACCTGAGATAGTGACTTTAGTTAAGACTATAAAAAATGTCTCAGTTAGGGTTTTGTTGCCAGAGATAAGGCTGCTGAATCTCGTCTATTTGTGGTAAAAGGTATAGTTTACAGACAGGTTCCTGAATGCTCACATTTCACCGATTCATGGTGATTATGAAAATTGTTGAACACGCATTCATAGGAGCGCCACATGAATGTCAGTGATTGTAAAAATCTGTTGATTACAGAGTAGATGTCATTATTGTAGTCTGCCTTTTGCGCACTCAGAATTCAAAGCCTGTGATTACGTCTTAGAACTTTCTGAAATAAAGGGAATCGTTTGCCTTACTCTGGGACTGATTTTCCTTCACTTAGACTATTTGAACAATTTGCTAAATTTATAGCAAATTGTAAAGAAGAGAATTATGTAACACCAAAAATGGCTTTAGAAAAAGTTAGAAAGTGATTGAAAATGTACAAGGTGGTTTTATTCGTTTGACTTCTTGCCCTGATATCATATCATGGGGTCCTTTTTATTTGTAGATTATCTTCGACATTATATCTACAGCATTTTCAAGGGAATAGTTATCCTTCTAACACATCTGAACTGGAGGTAATAATTTAGAGGTGAATTTTCATTCTGAGATCAATCTCTAAGGACAGGCAGAATATGGTTCTTGTTGATAATGGCTCTCAACACAGATATGAGGAACCTTGAAATGAGAAAATAATTATGAAAATTTTACTAACATAAAAATCCTTGGGCTCAGGGCTGGAGAAGAATAGGATGCCTGTATCCTTCTGCTCTGGAGAGCCATGCATGTGGTAAATTAATGCTTGGTAGGTTGATGTGTTTCATCACAAGCTACTTATTGTGATGGGGATTCATATCCACTTTAGCGGAAATGTCTGTCAGGCTCAGTATATTTCTCTTTTTATCCTTTCAGAATCATGAAAATTATATAGGAAGATGAAATATTCTGGAGTGCTTAAGATGAGATGCCCAAAGATATTTAATAAACATAATTTTTCACAATATGTCTCCTATATTTTACCCATAAAATAAGAAACAGATAATTTTAAGAATATATGTATAATAAATAGTTAGCGCTTTTAAGCATTTGTAAAAATTTTAAGGCAACATTTCAGAGCTGACTCATACCCAGAAAAAATTAACTTGTTTTTAAAACATGAAATACTTACCAGAGATGGAAACTACTGTAGAAGATTCCTAGGATACATACACATAAGGAAAAATATACCTGGAGTCATCAAATAACAGGAGACAATGCCCAGACTTGACATTTTCATCACCAAGTGAAACATCCAGTTCCTGGAATGGTTACATCCAGCGGTGTTGCTGGAGAAAGGTACTGAGCCAGGTGGTAGACCATAGATAAGAAATATTGGTTAATTTAATTTGTAAGAGCTAGTTAGTTGGTAATATGCCTAAGATATTGGCAGAGCATTTATAATTAATAATAAGTCTCTGTGTGGTTATTTAGGAGCTGACTGATGGGATAGAAAATTATGCTCACAGTAGCTTAGTCAGAATGACAAACAGTCCCAGCATGATGGCTGTGAGCAGACCTCGTTGCATGTGAGTATAAGCACTGTCCTGTGAAAGATGCAATAAGCAAGGCCAAATGCAGAAACCGTGCCTCCTGCAAAGAGAGGCCAAATATAGAAAAAGTGACTCCTGAAACAACCGTGTATGTTTGACTTCAAAACTGAGTGCTAGCCTTCGATTCATGGGCAAATCATCACAAACATAAATTTCCTTATTCCATTGTAGAAATTCTTATCCAAATATTAGGATTCAAATGTAAAAGCAATGGTTTCACCTAGAACACAGCATATTCTTGCGGAAGAACTCATAATTTTTTGGACATGCCAGGTCAGTAAATTTAAATAGTACATGCTCAAAAATTTTAAAGAATTACTAAATTCATTTCTTTCATTTATTAATTAGTTAGTTCAATAAAATAATTGAAGAACAATGAATTTAATCAACATTTTTCTTATGCCTACACAAATATGTAATGACTATAATTATAGCCAGAAAATCACAACCTCTAAAGCCATTTTTAAATTTAACGAAATAAACCAAGAAATGTACAAAAATCTACATTAAAAGGGAAGCAGCAAATTTGGCTCAATTTAGCTTTTCTGAGTTTTTAACTGGGATCAATACCAAGAAATTTATTTAAAGATGAGTAATTCCTCATGAAGGAAGAAATGCTTTATCCATATGAGGAGAGAGTGGGAAGAGTTCAAATATGTCTGGACTGTCTAGAAACATGCAAAGGTGGCACCTTGTCACTCTAGTGCCCTTTCCTGACCCATGAGGGCTCTGTGTCCCTCTCCTTGAGTTTCCTTCTTCCACAGCTTGTTATACTATTTTTTAAAATTATTTATTTTTATTTTACTTGCATTGGTGTTTTTCAGGCATACATGTCTGTGTGAGAGTGTCAGACTTGTAGTTACTGACAGTTGTGAGCTGCCATGTGGGTACTGGGAATTGAGCACTGAGCCATCTCTCCAGCCCCCAGTTTGTTTTACTCTTGCCTGAATAGATTACCATAAAGATAGAGACTTTCTTAGAGCTGAGGGAGTTTTTAGTTTTCCTCTGCTCTTGTGAATACTTAAATTTCTTTAAACTCAAGGCCACAAATGACATGCCAACCAGTGGGTTGTCAATGAATCTTTAGATGTCCAGATGTCCAGATTGTGTTGCCTTCTAAATAAGATCGTAAGTCAAGTCCTGCTGTCCTTCAAATGTGAAATTATAAAAGCACAGTAACCAAGCTGTTTAAACCCCATAACTTTTGACAGAAAGGCTTATATTGAAAACATTTCTACCTTATACTGTAGTCTAGTTTGAAAAAAATGAAATTGTTCAGGTTGCGGAAAAGTAATAGGCATTTTCTTCTTATTCTGAAGAAGTATTGTGTGCACTGAATTTACTACAATAAAGGTTTTAACTCAGTAGTAACCCCATCAATACTAAAGTGGGTGCTTCTTCCATGGAAGTTTTCTGAGGAGAAAAGGACCATAAGCAGGTATACTTTATTTTTCAAGACTATTTATTTCAATGTTTCACAAACAAGAATTTTGTTTAAATTGCTGAATATTTACAGACATGACTATACAGCTAAATATTTCTATATAATAAATACACAATTATGTTTTATTTTATTTTTTATCATTTTTTATTTTAATTTTAAATAGCTTGTTTTACATGTCAATCCCAGTTCCCTCTCCCTCCCCTCTTCCCGCACTCCCCTTTCCCCCCACCCTCCCACCCTATTGCCAAATTCTTCCACATAGGGGATATCTAGAGTCTGTCATTTCACTCTGGGTAGGGTCCAGGCACTCCTCTAAGAGTCCAGGCTGAGAGAGCATCCCTCTTTGTGCTATAGGCACACAATGACTGTTTGTATTCCAGGGATAGACACTGATCCACAGCTCAGGGCCCCATAGGTTGCCCAGGCCTTCTCGCTGACACTCACATTTGGGGGGTCCAGATCAGTCCCATGCTGGCCTCCCCACTGTTGGTCTGGGGTCCAAGAGCACTCCCCTGTTCAGATCAGCTGTCTCTGCTGGTTTTGCCAGTCCATTCTTTGCCAATTTGCTCATCACTCCTCTCTCTCTGTCACTGGGTTCCTTGGGTTCAGTTCAGTGATTAATTGTGTGTTTGCCTCTGCTTCCATCAGTCACAGGATGAAGGCTTCCAGATGGTTATAGACATCAAGTTCATTATCAGGAATGGGCATTCGAGGTGGTCTCTCCACTATTGCTTAGCTTGCCAATTGGTGTTATCCCTTTAGATCACTCGAGGTCACTCTGGTGCCTGATCTGTCTTCTATCCTATGATTCCCTCTTCCTCCTATTCTACCCCCACCCACTCAACTTCCTGTTCCCCCATGCAAACTTAATCCAAATGCAAACGTAATCCATAAACATTCTGTAAGGTATGAGTCATTAACTGTATGGATAGGAAGTATAGTTTTTAAATGGACCTTTCTCATATTATTCTTAAGTATAATGCAGGCAGATTTTCCATCCTGTCTTATTGCGTTAGAAGTGCATTCCATGGAATCCATGGTAATCCTTGGGTCAAGATCATTAGCTTGATAGTGGAATGAGTGCACACCAAGTTCATAGACAGACACTACCTAAGTAAATGCAATAGAGAGCTATCAAGACAGACATATGATCTCAAGCTCTGTCATCCATTCGTATGAGCACACACACTCATATGTATTGGCACACACACAAATCTGTATGTTCTTCCACATATACAGGAAACACACACACACACACATGCACACAAAGTTTACTACAATTTATTTTTGCCATCAAGTCCGTGGTTAAGGAAGAACAAATGTAAGATACTTAATTACCAATATTATCTTTCACAAGATACAAAATCCTAACATATTCCTTACAAAAGAGCATGAGGCCAGAAAAACTCTTTTATTATTTGTAACCTGTAGGATCTTAAAACACTGATCCTAGTCTTACACTTAGATCTAGCAATCATGATCTTTGGTAGCTATACAAATAAATTGGTATTCACCCCAAATGCTGTTTTCACAAAAGCTTGCACAAGCAGTTTAGTAGTAGGTTCAATCTCAGTTAATCCAACAAAAATGTTACCTGATAAGTGGGTGGATAAAGGGATTTTCCCAATTCTACAGTGGTGAAAATAACTGAGATCAAATCACAAAAGGACGTTGAGAGGACTTGCTAAATAAAAAGAGGTGGCCCCTCCCTCTTTCTCTCCCTCCTTCCCTCCCTCTCTCCCTCCCTTTGTCCCCCCTCTCTCTTTCTGCCTCTCTCTTTCTTTAAGGCAAAGTTTCATGTTATCTATGGTGTTATTGAAATACTAGTTGCCCCAATCTGAATTTGAACTTATTCTTCAGCATCTACCTCTCAAATATGTGGTCATTCTGGAAAGGCAATGTACACTAAAGAGAGGAGTGGTTGCTAAGAGTGATCAATGATTGGGAGGAATGAATAGGTGAGCATGATACTGTAATAGCAGCTATGTGCCATTATAAATTGCCAAATCCCATTGAACTAAGTATACAGAGTGAGCATAGATTTAAACTGTGGGAAGCAGTAAGAAGAAAGTATCAATATTTGTTCATAAACTATAACAAATGTACTTCATTATTTTAAAATGTGAATTGCATGGTTGAATAACAGGAATACATAGAATATCTCTGGTGCTTCTCTTCCTCTTTCCCTGTATATTTGAACTTGTCTACTGATTCTTCAAGGATACTGTGTATAGGTTAGGCTTTGTAAATAGTAGGAAAAAAACTGATCTTGTTTTGGAGTCAAGTTGTTTGAGTTGGATGTCTCTAAAATTAATTTTACTTAGTTCTTAATTTTCAGGATAAAAATCCATAGAAATTAAAGACTGATGTAGATAAACACCAAACAGGTTTTAGAGTACATAGGGTAATATATTTATGTTGGTAGAAACAGCTAGTAATATTTAGGCAGGGCACTAAAACATTTAAATATATTAAGAAATGCTATTCTTTAAAATTATAAAACATAATCAGAATAAAATTGTATAATAAACATTAAAGTTTTACTTTACTAAATGCAAGGGCATTTACTACCAAATGAGATAGAAAGGATCATTAGCACATGAGAAGCAGACAAAAGAGTAGAGATTTTTTTTGGAAACAGTATTGTGTTATCTGCTTACTTTGTTACCAAAATGGAGATATAAACTTTAGCAAAAAGATATGGCAAGATGCAACACCCAGGGGATTGGAACAGTGCTCATGAGAATAGATACGATAAACACTTTGAAAATGTCTTTGTCAATAGCTGTTTAAGAAGAACAAATGAGCACCCTGTGATTCAAAAATTTCATTCCTAGGTATATTCTCAGTGTAAAGTATGCTGATAATGGTATTTATTGATTTGTCATTAGTATCTTTATTCATCATAGGAGAAAACTGGGTGCTGCATCAATTATCACCACAAAGATTTTAGTGTATTTGTACTTAATGAACTGTATTGGATACTTCACAACATCCATCATCAATGAGTTAACAGGGCACTATGTGTTAGCACCTTTAAAATTTCTTGGAGAGCTAAAAAGAGCTAAAAATATTTTATTCTTTTTATTGAGAAAATATAAAAGCACAGACCTGGAATGCATTATTAAGTAATAGGTAATAAAATAATAATGATAATTATTCACACCTCAAATAATTGAAAAAATAATTATTAATGCATAAATTGCACAATGCAATTAAACTAGAAGTGACAGCTTAAAGTATTACAACTTTCAATACAAAGGACTGTTCTGTAAAAATGAAACAAATACATAATTACAAACACCAATGAAAATGGCAATTACAAATATCAAAACATTAGAATCATGTAATCCACGTGGAAAATTTGACAGAGAAAAATCACAGGATTTTATATGTAAATAAAGTAAAAATAAAACAAAAAAAGTGAAGTAAAACAAAAAAATGAGTAGAGAAACAATTCAACACACCTAAATGTGTCCAAGGGAATTAAAAATTACATTTTATCAGAGTAGGGGAACTATGGAATACTTGT